ACTAGGAGGCCCCTTGAGGATGGAGCCAGTGTCCCCATCTCAGACCAGGCTTTGTCCCAGCAGCTGGGGACTGAGCTCATGTAGGCCCCAGTACGTGGTCTTGAAAGCACCCTCTCCTTGCTTCTCCCTCTGCAGCCAGAAGAATCCTGTAACCACTGTGAAGTAAATCATTCTTCTGTACTCTGAACCCTTTGATGCCACCCCCACCCCAGTTACTCTCAGAGTACAAGAAGTAATCCTCACAAAGGCTTGCAAGGCCCTATCCAATCTGGCTGCTGTGACCCCTGTAAACTCATCTCCTAGCACTAATTAATCTGCTGCAGATGCACTCGCCTCCTTCCTAATACTGAAACACACCAGACATACTCCTGCCGCGGGCCCTTTACACTCGCTGTTTCCTCTGAACGGAACCCTCTAGAGTGAGGCTGTGCCTGACAGCTGCAACTCCCAACCTCCCTAGCCCCCTTTCCTGCACTTTCTCCCGAGTATCTAACTATTGCCTATTTCACATCTCCATGTGTTTATTGTGTCCTCCCTTACCCTCACCTTGACCCTGACTCCCATCTAGAGTATCAGCTCTACGAGGCCAGGGATTTTTGTCAGTTTTGTTAGTTGATTTATTTCTAGTGCCTAGAGCTATGCCTTGGACAGAGTAAATTACTCAATGACTATCTGTTGAATAAGTGAATCAGTGTGTAACTGAATGAGTGATGACATGAAACGCACAATGTGTATCTGTATCATCAAAGCTCTGAGGTTGAATAGTCTTTAATGGATTATCAGGAACAGCCAGGCCAAATTTAAGATGAAAAGAATCAAAAAGAAAATGAAGTTGAAATCATTTGAGTTAAAAAAATCACAGTGTGTATATTTTGATCTGGGTGGTATTTGTGCAAATACATACATATATAAAAATGAATGGAACTAGACATTAAAATTTGAGCACTTTACATACTTTCCCATATGTATATTATACTACAATAAAGAAGAAAATACAAAAATCTTAAATAGTTCATGGAAAAAATCAGAACCGTGGCTTTTTTAGCCCTTATTTTATGATCTAGTATTATTGTTATTTGATACTTAGGGAGAGTGCACCATAACCTGGACAACACTTTGGGCCCTGTCAAGATGGGCCTCTAGATGTTCCTGGTGTTAATTAATATTTGTTACAGGAAATGAGAAATTCACCTTTACGTTCCCAGCACCTGGCACAAAGTAGGAGCTATTATAGTTCATGTGTGATAAATGAAGGAATGAATGAGCACGTGAATGAGCTCTGCAAGTTTCTGGGATGTGGCAGCCCAGGCCTGAAGCCACCTCCAAGGGTTTCTCACACTACAGACCCTGGCCTTCCCTCCTCCAGCCCCGCTGGCCCTGGCCCCTACCCCAGCAGCTCTGGATGCTGTCCCGGACTTCGAGCCCTCTGCAGTCTGGGGAGAGATCACAGAAAAGCCTCCAATGGCGCTGGGGACCAAGGAAAGAAGAGGGGACAGCCCAACTCATGGGGAGCTCTGGGAAGGGCTCCCTGTCTCCTAAGTACCACCCACATTTACCTGGTGCCCAAAGCACCTTCCACAGGGGCAGGGAGGCCATGTGGCCTGGGGAGAAGAGGCATGAGGAACTGACTCTGGGGAGGATGGGCGCTGCCTGAGGGTGGACAGGACTACAAAGGGGGTGGAAGCAGAAGGGGAGTGGCCAGAGGCGAGAGAGACGAGGGAAGCAAGGACTTGGGGCCCCTGAGAAGCTCTGGAGCCACTTACCAGGCAGCTGTCGTGTGAAATTGAGTTCCTTCTGGTACCTGGGCTGAGTGTAGGACCAGATTCGCACCTCAGCCCCTAGAGCAGCCTCAAAGCAGTCAAATACTACAGAGCCCTGTGAGGAGATGGGTGGCAGAAGGCTCTGTGGTATCGGGCTCAGAATCCATTACGAGGGCATGGGTTCCTCTGCATGGATCACTCCTTCCTTCCCCCTTTCCCCAGCCAATGATTATACTCATACTGTGTGGCCTAAATTCTGCCACTGAAGTTTCCTTCAATGGCTCCCAATTCTAAAGCACACATCTCAATATGGGTATCAGCAGGGCAGGGATAGGGCCCTAGCTACCTGAGTTCCTGCACAAACTCCAGCTGTTCTGGATCACATGGCCAAAGCTAAGGTGATGAGAAACCCCTCCCCACAGAGGTGGGTCTCTGAGGCACACCCAGGGCCTCAGTGGTCCTCACGATTGCTCCGTGAGGTGGGCAGGAGATGTTCTCTCACTCAACAACTTTCCAGATCAGAGGAGATTGGCTGGGGGTAGGAGAGGAAGTCGAAGGGTTTGAGTGATTTGGCCCAAGTGGAGAGACACCTACTGGGACAGCCCAGCACGCTGCACCACAGCAAACACACGGGGCAGATGGTACACACGGGGCAGATACGGTAAAAGGCAGGAAGACCAGAGAAGCGGATCCAGCCCACAGACTGTCCCTCCCCGACTCTCACTTTCTCTGCCTGGCGTTGTTACCTCATTAAATTCTCACAACATCCATATGAAATAGGACTATTCTTATTGCCACCTTACAGACAGGAAAACTGGGGCGTAAAGGGCACAACCCCGACGGGAGTCGGGACTTCAGGAGATAATGCACGCGGGAGCACTTTATAGACTTCATATTCAGAAGATGGTTATTATTATTATTTTGCATACCACAGACTGACCAGGCTGCACGAGGGCAGCGGGCACTTGCACCTCCAGCAGGACGCAGCGGGCAGTAGGGTAGGCCTGGAAGGAGAGCACTACCTGGGCCTGGAGAGAGCCTGTGGGCAACAGGGGAGGGGGCTGGTCAGGCCCGGGGGCTGCAGACAAGGCCCTGGTGGCGGGGGGCTGGGCCGGCCCGGTTCTCCTCACCATTCCGAGGCTCCTTGAGCTCTGGATCAGCTGCTCTTCCAAATTGTTCCTCATCTTCAGGCTCTTCCCAGTGCCCTGGAAGGACTGGAGAGCAAGGCCCGGGTCAGGCCTCTTGCTCTTTTGGGTTTGGCTTCCTTCCAGAAAGTTCATGAGGGGAAGCAGGGGCCAGGTGTAGGGCCTAGGGACCAGGTGGGGAGACCAGACTGGCCTGGGGGTCCTTTGACCGGTGTCCTCCAGGAGACTGTCATCCAGGAGGATGTACAGTGCCATCTGACGGACTGCCTGACCCTCAGTCCCACACCGAATACATTCACGTGTGCACACGGATGGCATGCTCACCATGCACAGCCAAGTGGACGACCACACGAACACAGAGGTCACAGTCAGTCTCCTGATGGCACCTGAGCACCAGCTCTGTCTGTAGGCGTGTGGGCACCAGCACAGGTCCTGGGGCAGACACTATGCTCCCAGGCAGGCAGAGCACGTCACCATCTGTGAGTGAAGGGCAGGGTGGGAGCTGAAGCCCTTCTGAACCCAGGGTTTGGTTGCACCTCATACCCCCAGAAGGCCAAGGAGCTTGGGATCTTCCAGGGCTGAAGGTGGGCCATGAGGGCATGGGACGTGGGACTGGGTATTAATATTTATTAATTCCAGGAACATCTAGAGGCCCCTCTCCCTTCCACCAACCTAGGAAGTTCTTTTCTCTCTAAAAGTAGGACTACTCACCCCACAGGTGGCAGGAGAGGCCCTGGGAAGGAGGTAAAGGAGAGTCAGAGTTTATGGTCCTGCATCTAACAAACCATCTTTCCTGGCTTGAGACCCCTCCTACCTCTTTCTGGGGCTCCCTATTCTAAGCTCATTCCAGGAGACAAACACAGCTCTTGCCCCCTCCCCATTCTTACCCCATCAGTACCAGCCAGACCAGCCAGGGCAGTTCTGGTGGTGGTGGCGGTGACAGGAGCCTGGCTAGTATCCTGACAGGCCTCAGACTGAACCATGAGCCCTCCCCAGCCCTCCTGGGGTCCCAAGACTCACCGGAGAGCAGCGAGCAGCGTCCTGAGGCCCCACAAGCTTCTCCAGAGAGAGGACCATGGGGCTTGGGCCCAGTGCCAAGGACAGCAGGAACCAGGGCACAGGCATCTTCCAGGTGCCAGGTGGCACCCAGGCCCCAGGCCCTGTCCTGCCCCCCCAAAGGGGGGGGCAGACACCTCACCTCTGCTCCCACTTAGTCCAGAGCGTTTGGGCAGGAGACACCAGAATCTCTCCCCAGCCTCCAGGGTCCCAGAGCTGGCTAGCTGACACACTCCCTCTCCTGTAGTCCTGACTCCAGTCTCAGTCCCAGCCAAAGTGCTTTCGTTTTTGACTCCTGGCAGGCAACTGGCTGTTCCCGCCCCACCCTGTCCCTCCCACCAACACCAGAACTGGGAGCCAGCAGCCTCACCTCCTTCTTTTCCTCCTCCCTCTCCTCCTCCCCTGCTGACAGCTGGCTGGGAGGGCCACCGGAGATGGGCGGTGGCAGCCTGGCCTCTTGGCTAAGAAAGCTCTTACTCACCCTGGGAGTCCCTAAGGAGGAGGGCTATGAGTGCACCCCGAGACTTGGGTAATCTTGGGGCATTTTTGCTTCCCTAATGACTCTGAGGTCTTGGCGTCCACTGGATTCTCTCTTACTGGGCACCCATGGTCCCTCCACACAGACTCCCTGGGCCTCAGTGTGTCAGGAGTTCTACCGTCAGGGACAAGAAAGTGGTCTTTTCACCACTTCCTGGCCCATGCTCTCGTGTGGTAGGGGTGGGGAAGGAATCCGGAGCCAGGCCGACAGGAGCCCCATTTGTGCTTTTGCTGTGGGCTGGCTGCGTGCTGATGGACGCACACCACTTTTTTAAACTGTTTTTTCCCCTCTCTTCTCATGAAAGAATCACAGTGAGGAGCAAGATTTCCAAGTTCTCCTCTGCCGTTCCAGTGGCACTGTGTGATGGGTGGGGTTATGGGTGTGGACATGGAGGGTTTGGGCCACAAACTGATGGATGACAACCCTCAGTCAGGGTTGTGCTGAACTTTCCCCGAATGAGCATCCCGGGCACACTAGAGAAGCGCGTGTTTCTTAGTTTATCCATCATATTTGCCTTTATTCATCCTGATTCATCGTGGTGTTTCCTGTCCCACCTTCATCCCAGCCACCCAGGGCCAAAGCCCCTTTTCCTGGGTCCAGTGCTGCCTCCATCCCCATCTGGGCAAGGCCTGTGTCTGGGAAAGAAGGATCTCTGGCCCCCAAGGGGATTTTATCGCACTTCCGTGGATCCATTGCCTTCAGAACCGCCAAATCTCCTGCCTCCCCTACCCCTGCCCAAATCTCTCTAGCAAGCACAAGAGCATGTGTAAACTACTCTCGGAAATTTTGGAGACCGGAAGTGGGAAACTCTCCCTCCCCTGGAGTCAGAGGCACCCTCAGTAAAAAAAAAGATTCTCTCCCTGGGGGTTCTGAGAGGCAGGGAAGCACCAGGAGGAAGCCTGACGCACGTGCACAAGGGCTTGGAGTGAGACGAGTGCTCTGCTCCGGGGCTGGAAGGCAACGAATAAGGCTTTCGGGCAGCAGTCCTCAGGAGGCACACTGAGAATTCCGGGGTAGAAGCTTCCTTCTGGGATACCAGCCAGTGCCCCCTACGCCTGTGGCCGAGACATCTGGATTGCCTGGAGCTCTGCTCAGGTTTGATGGGCAAGCGTGGCTGCCTCGCGTTCCAGCCGGCGGCATAGTTCCAGGCGACTCCGCAGGCACTGCTGAGCACCCAGGCGGCCCCTGCCAGTGGCTTGGGTGGAAGACCCGGCGGCGCCCAGTGCTCGCAGCAGACGAGGCAGGTCTCGCAGCAGGCGGTAGCGCGGCAGAGCACGCAGCGGCGCGGGAATGTCGCCTTTGGTGCAGAGGCTACTGAAGTAAGCGAGTAGCAGAAGCGGACGCGGAGCGGCACGGAGCAGGCCGCACAGGGGCGCAGTGCGGGGGTCCAGGCCGCAGGTGGGGCCGGAACAGGCGCTGCTCCACAGCAGCAGCACGGTGCCCTGCTCCCGCGTCACCTGCGCCCGCGCAGCCCACAGCCACGGCAGCGGGCCCACGCGCGCCATGCGCGTCCCCTCCCACAGGTCCACGATCACATCGCGCCCACCACCCAACGTGGCCCGCAGCAGTTCAGCCAGCGCTCCCACTAGGCGCCGCTGCGCCTCTGAGTCCGCTGCATGCAGAAGCAGCACTGGCTGTGCTTGGCCCGGGCCTATGGTGGGGAGCAACAGGAACAGGGTGAGGATTAAGGGACAGCCACAGCTCTATCTTCCTGAGCCTCATGGCTACACCATAGCGTGCACCACCCCCTCCCAGCTCCTTATCTGCGCTGGGGGTGGGTATCCAAGGCAGCTCTAATCTATAGTGTGCTTTGGGGTTATTTAGATAAAGGCACCCCTGGAAGGGGCGAGGGCCACGGTGCCAGGCTTGGCAGGTGCAGCGCAGTCTGGATTTCCGTTCCACTCGCCTCTTGCCCAGAAACTTGGTACACTGAACCACCTGCACAGAGGGACCTTTGCCCCACCTAAACCATTCCTGCCCACTAGGGTGCCTGAAGTGCATGGCCTTGGGTAGCAGTGAGCTGGGTGTATGGGCAGGCAGATGGCTCTTGGGGAAGGGAGCCTGGACAGGGGGTGGGTGGGGGCAGCTAGCCTAGGAGCTGGGCAGGTCTAAATCCCCAAATTACCCCCGAGTGAACTCACTTGATAGTGGGCGCCGGAGGGTGAGGACCAGAACAACTCCCAGAAGGGTGGTGAGGGCCAGCAGTGCCAGGACCAATAGTCCCAGGCGTCTATGAGGGACTGAGTCAAGCAGAGTGAGGCCAAGCTGGGCTCCTCAGCGTCCAACCTCCCACGTAATCCTCTCCCCAGAGAACTCACCATACGGACACAAGAGGTGCTTCCAGGCAAACTGGACATCTGACCGCCACACCTGAGGGCACAGAGCCCCGCCCCCCTGGTGAGCCAGGGTATAGGGCCTCCTCCAGGGGAAGTTAGATGAGGCATGGGGATGGGGAAGAGGAGGTCCCCTGGGTAGGGAACTCATCCCACACAGAACAGGTCGAGAGTGGCAAACTCAAAGAGTAAACTCAAAGCTGGCCGGGCGCCTGTGAGAAGCTGGGGAGCACAGGCCCTGGCTGAAGTAATTGGACACCACGGACTGCGCTTCGGCCTGCTGTCGCCAGGCTTGAATGTGGACACAGAGCACCAGGCTTTCTGACTTTTTAAAAGAAGCCAAAAATCAGCTTTTTAAAGTATGACATCCCCCAATATTTAAATGGTAGCGACAAATTCCAATTTCAGACACTGTGCTGTCCAAACCAATGTTTTGGAAGACTGGATTTTCCCCATGTGCTGCTTGTGGAGTAGCTGCTGGGGGAGCATGTGCGGAGGGAGGGCGGGATTTCTTACCAGAATGCAGCCCCCTGGCCTCAGGAAGGGAACGATGAGATCTAGCGTCACCGGGCCTGAACCCTGAGTCTGTCGGAATAAAGAACGGAATGACTGTCCACATGAAAGCAGACCTGGCCCCTGTTCAGCCTCTGAGGCTTTGCCCAGGCTCTTTCCCCTCTCCACTTCCCACATCTCCCAACCCAAATCCTCCCCAGGCTTAAGGCCAAATGCCACCTCTGACAAGAAGCCTTCCTGGCTTCATTCCTAGATCCCACTGATCATTCCCAGACACACATTAATCAGGCAATCAGGCACTCGTCAACAGACATACCCTGGGTACTGACTCTGTGCCAAACCCTGAGGAAAGAAGGTGGGTGTAGATGTTGTCTCTCTCCTCCAGCAGCTCACAAAACAGGGAGGTTAATAATATGATGCCCCCCCCCCCGCCTGTTCTGCACACCTGAAGGGGCACCTGATCCATGGGTGGAGTCAGGAGACCACAGCTAATAACATCAGGCTTAACTGTTGCCTTCGTGGTTCCTAGCTGTATGATCTTTGGTGCATTGATCCCTGAGCCTCAGTTTCTTCATTTGTTTGTGAAGAGTAGTAATTCTTGGTTTACTGACTTATTGATCATCACATGGAAATATGCACATGACCACTTCTTAGACTACACAGTGCAGTGTACATTCGTTTAGTAGTTATTATTACACTGGGGACTCCCAGGTGCCTAGGACCACAGAGACTCTGTGACATACTCTTCTCGTACCTCCCAGGGCCTAAGACAGGGTAGGCACAGAGTAGGCACTCAGTGAATGCATGCTGAGTTGGACAGAACTGATCACTATCTGTCTACAGGCAGCATTTGGCTCTGCCCCATGTTCTGTGTGCTGGGCAGGGAGCTGAACAGAATTTCCGTCCTCTGGGAACATCCTCCACCCCCTACCTCCTACCCTCCCCCGTCCCAGATCCCACTGTTCAGTCAGCTGTGAGCAAGCGCTGGAGCAGAGGCTCTCAAATCATGGCTGAAGGTGGTCTTCTCCCAGCTCACAGAAACAAATGAGTCCACGGATATAGCTTTCAACTTTAGGTTTTCCCACATGACTTTGTCTTAAATCTTGAGCATGGCTTGGTCTTAAATCGTGAGCATTTTCTACCATCTGTTTGCTTGGGAGCCCTCAGAGAATACAAAACAAATAAGCAAGCTGCAGGTGAGTATTTAAGAAAGAACTTGGAAGAGCTACTCATGCTTAGTCAGCTTGGGGCTGTGGTTTTGAAGATATTTGATTGTGGTTTTTATATCAGACACACAGAAGAAAGTCTACTAGTCAAATTGTCCTTAGTTCACATAATAGAGTTAAATCTGTCAGTACTTTAGTCTTTGGCAAAGAGCACTTCATCTTCCAGGGGCTCAGTCTCCCAGGATAGTCAGAGAACTCCTGCCAGGTGCCTGGTGGGGGCAGGCAGGAGCCCGGTGGTAGAGGACAGCTGAATTCGACATAGCATCAGGATAAAACTCGGCAACAGTTTGAGTGGGCCAGAGAACAGCTGGATGTGAGAGGGCCAGTCTTTTGCCTCTGTTTATCCCTGTAAGTTCAGAAACTGAAAGAATTAGAAACCGCCCCATGGAAGACCCCACTGACTGGCAGAGGAACCAGTTGAAGGAAGCCTGATCGAGTAAATAAATAACCAGATGATATAAGTCTGGAATTTGCTCATCTCCACTTGATGTGCTCTAAGCAATGAGACCTAGTGGGGGCCAAGACCTGGCTAGAGCATACCTGGCTGATGCTGTATACAGGGGGCACCAGGCTGTCCTGTCCCAAGTCTGGGTGGCTCCATGCAGCACTGAAGGTGGCATGCATCCTTGTGGAGAAGTGAAGGACCAGCTGCTGAGCTTGGGTGTCCATGCTCACATTCCAGGATGGGGCTGCCAGGGAGTGGGGCAAAGGGTATCATGTGAGAGACCCTGTCTGCAGGAGGTGATAGAAGCTGGGCTGCAGCTGACAGAGAAGTCATGACAGGGTTACAGTTTGGCTTGGTCATGGCTGGGTGAGGTAACATATTGGCAGGGGCTCCCAGCCGGGTCACTTATTGACTCACCAGTGTGGTGGGGACATTCAACATGGCTGCTGTTTCCAAAAGAGAACTGAGAAACAAAGCAAGAATGGTGGGTCAGCAAGCCCCAGGCACCATCCATACCCACAGCCAACCCTCTCACTCATACTTGTACCTTGAAGCAGAGCTTGGGGTGCAAGTCCACCTTCTCCAAAACAAACCTCTGTAGCAGGAGACAGGCATTAGTCAGGGAGCAGGGCCCTGGGCCCCAGCCCTGCCCACCCAGGTCCTGGGGAGGCCTGTCTCACCCCCTCTGACTCGCGAGCTGTGGCATTGGGGAGGTCTTCACAGAGGGTGCTCCAGCCCTGCCTCTGGCAGAGGGCGGCCTCCAGCTTCAGTGGGCAGTGGAGTGTTGGGGCCATGACCATCTTACTGTGCTGGCTGTAGTCAGTAAATTTCACTGACTTCCAAAAGTCTGAGCCATCTGGGCAGGCAGCAGAGGCAGAGTGAGGCCTGGGGAGGCCTGGGCCCTGCCTCGCCACCCCCACCCCCAGGGCATCAGGAGACAATGTGTGTGAAGGTGCCCAGCACAGTTCCTGGTCTGTCTAGGAACCCCCAAAAGAAGCCTGCCTTTTCCAGTCCCCTTTTATTACCTTTTCTATTTATGTGTCTCCTCTCCTTCCTGCACCCCCATTCCGGCTAGCTCTTTGCTGCTCCCCAAACCTGGAATCTTTATATCTTTGCTAAGGCCCCTCTCTCAGAACCAGGAATGCCTTCCTTTCTAAACCCCACTCATTTTCTGAGCACAGCTCAGGTGTCACCACCTCCGAGAGACCTTGTCTTGCTGATGATAGCCTTCATCAGCTTCTCCTTTTCCTAAGTTCATGTCCCACAGGCTAGTCCTCATGTGCAACCCAGCCCTGGACTGCAGGCTGCTTTGTGCTATTCGTTTGTCATGTTTGGGGACAACAATGTATGGACAGTACTTTAGAGGTCACCAACTTTTTCATATATCATATTGAAGTCAAGCCTCAGAAACAGTTGGAAAGTAAGGCAGAGCAAGTACCATTGTTTTACAGATGAAGAAACTGAGGCTCAGAGAAGAACAAATGGCAGAGCCAGGATGTGAGTGAGCCCAGCGCCTCTGGCCCATCCTTGGGACACTCCGTCCTGGCTCTCATATTTCTGAATCTCCCCCCAGTGCCTAGTACCATGTTCAATATTTGATTTATTGGCAGGCTGATCGGTAGACATGGTAGCCCTTTCCTCCCACCGACTCCAGCAAAAATGCCGCCATGCCTTCTAGGGGCTTCCTGGAACACTGATGTGAAACGTGTGCAGGTGTGTATGTGTATATGGAAGAGAGACAGAGAGAGGCTGTGTATGCACAAGAGTGCATATGAGCAGCACTCACAGGCTTCAGGCCAGCTCTGAAAGGGACATTTTCTGCGCCTCACGGTGTCCTCTTGGAGGTAGGATGCCTGCGGGGACAGGGGAGCAAGCAGGGAAGGTCAGAGGAAGGGCTTTTTCTATATCACTCAGACCCGAAGCTCATTCTGGCTTGACCTTGCCCTAGTGCAAGCTGCGTGAGCTAGCAGGGGACTGAGGAGGGGGAGCAGCACAGCAGGTAGGCAAGGGTAAGTGATGCCTGATGCTGCGGAAGGAACCTTGGAGTATGGGAGTAAGCTCAGTTAGTGAGGGGCTGAGTCCTCTTGTCCCTGGGGAGGAGAACCCTGCCCTAGAAAAAGGCGGATCGTGAGGTCCACATCACAGTTCACACCTCCAATCTCAGTGGTTCCCAAGGTACCTGGTGCCCAGTGTGGGGCCTCCCTCTGGGCTGCCCAAACACCTGGTGCTCGTCTACCCTGGCAGATGCTCAGTGCTCCAAGTCTCTGCCTGCACCCTCCCTTTAGTTTCCTCATGGGTGACAAGGCCCTCTGCCTTTTCTGTCTACTTTGAAGAAGTCTCAATGTTAGGCACTTCAGAATTATGGAGAGGAGGACTACCATGAATGGATAGTGGGGACAGGACTTTTGGGGTCATGCGGAACCTTGCAATGGCCACGTGCCCCCAGTGTGACTAATCAGTACACACAGTGAAAGCAGCTGTCTATTCTGCTTTGGTGGGCTGAGGCCAGGTCTGGACCAAGGAAAGCTGGGTTTGGGGGCTGAGACTGGAATCGCCCCCAAGAATGTCTCATGTCCAGCAGGACACTTCCATCTCTGATCCAGTGTGTGGCTCACAGCCGAGCTGGCACCCATCTTCCCAAGCACATTGTAAACACCCAGTCCTTCTAAAACCTGACTTACTGGAGCTGTGTTTGACCAGCCGCATGATCTGGGGCCATGGACAACCCACATATTTCCTCTACTCACCTCTATGCACAGACAGGGCTGAAGGAATTCATAAGGCAGGTCTACGGTGCGGCCCCAAGACACGGTTTCCTGTTGGCGAGGCGGTGAAGGGAGAGAAGAGATGCCTGAGAAAGAGCAAGGGCACCCTCCCAAGGGCGGGAGGAAGCTGGGACCTTAGCCAACACCTTATTTTTCCTCTTGTACACAACTTAATTTTTTTCACTGAAAAATTTCTTCCTGAGGGGTCTCTGTTTCGTCTCTAGACCATCTTCTCTAGATGTCTCAACACGAGGTGGGGCAAAAGCAGGTTTACCTTCCAGTTGTTCGTATGAAAGGTAATACAATAATTAATAAATGATAACCCAAGAATACACTGTGTTCCGTGCACTCAGAACGGTAACCCTACTTCGGCCCCATCCCGAATTTGGAGTCGGGGAGGGAAGAGACAGGGAAGGAGTGCACATTTAACGGCCGCAGCTGTAGGCCAGGTAGGGCAGTGGGTGCTGCCGTGGTCACTCGATAAAGTGCAGCATCACAGCGACCTTGGGAGGTGTCATCACCATTTTACAAACAGAGAGGGCTGAGGGTCTCCGGGTGCAGCGTCAGCCCCTGGACATTGTACCGACTGTACACAAGGGCCTTGGGGACAACCGGAGTTTGAGGCGGGGTGTCAGGACCTGGGATGGGAGAATGAGGGACATCTCATTCTCTGTAAAAGGCAACAAAGAGAGGGAAGTGGAAGGGTGACAGAACAGACGTGAGCACTTCGTTATTTTCTCGGGAGAGCAACCTCTTGGAGGAACTGAAAATGTTTTTGAATGCAGCCGGAATCTCACGGAATGGACTCTCATTGGTGATAAATGTCATATGCGTTTCTCTGCTAGCTATTCCTGGTTGCTTCAAGTCCCTGCAGGCCCTTTCCTTCCCTCTCCTCCTAGGCGATAGGGCCCCTTGTATTGTCTGCCTAGTCTTAATGCTGGGCACTTTGGACTTGTGGGTCTTGGAGAAGTATCTTCCCCCCAACCCCGACCTCAGTGTCCCTGTATGTACAATGGGTAGGCCATTTTTGCCCCAGCACTGTGTGATCTGGCTTTTTGCAGGGCAATGGCACTCCATACCTGGGCATCAAAGGGACTGCTCAGCTCTTCGCACTCTAGTGGCCACTGGTGACAAAGACGTACATTGACCTCAGGGCCTGGGGGGATGCTCACTCGAATAGCCCGTGCCTCGGGCAGCAAGTCAAAGTAGAATTCAGGCCCTGGGGAGAAGGGGCATTTGGTGGCATTGTCTCTTGGCCTTAGCAAAGGCACCCATAAGTGACCGTGCCCATCTCCTGGCACACCCATGTCTACCTTTATGCCTTTGTGAGTCCTGTCTCAGGAGAACTTCTGCTGCCTCTGAGGCTGAAGGTTGGGTCCTTTTGAAGCGCAGCCTTTTGTATGAGGTGTCTTGGGAGGTGACGGAGATGTGATGGCCCTTCTCAGACAGGCAGTGGCGACTCAGCAGCTTCCTCTGCAGACAGAGAGCAAGGTTGGCCTTAAGCCAGGCATCAGTATCTCTGGCTTCTATTTCTCCCTCTAGAATCAGAGAACTGTAGGCAAGTTGCTCGACATTTAGGACACAGTTTCCCTAACTGTGTAATGGAGGGATAGTCTACTTCATCTCCACACTCTCCACCTCTGGGTTGGGGAAAGGAAGGGTTGTGGGGCAAGGCAGGGCTGGGCTTGGCAGGGGCAGTACCTGAGCAGAGGTTGGCGTCTTGTGTCTCCTACGGAAGTGGAACGTGTAAGGCTTTTTGCATTTCTGCACCAGGCTATGGAACCAGCCCCACTGAAGGCCTGCACAGGAAAGGACACATTCAATATCCAGCCCCTCACTGCCCCTCCCCAGCCGGGAAGTGATGGCCCAGTGTTAGACAGTAAGTCATTTTAGATGAAGGAGGGTAGTCTACAGCCATACCACCCTGAACGCGCCCGATCTCGTCTGATCTTGGAAGCTAAGCGGGGTCGGGCCTGGTTAGTACTTGGATGGGAGATCAAGGAGGGTAATGACATCCAGCCCCTTTAGATCAGAAAGTTATGATACAATCAAAAAAAGATTAATTTCTTTTTTTAAAAGATTTTATTTATTTATCTTTAGAGGGGAAGGGAAGGAGAGAGGGAGAGAAATATCAATGTATGGTATGTATGGTTGCCTCTCGTGTATCTCCTGCTGGGAACTGGCCTGCAACCCAGGCATGTGCCCTGACTGGGAATTGAACTGCGATCCTTTGGTTCACAGGCCCACACTCAATCCACTGAGTTACATCAGCCAGGAGATGGAAAAAAAGATTAACTTTTTAAGTAGAAAAAAGTAGAGGACACCTTAAAGATGTTCATTGTAGCATTATTTATAACCATGAAATATTACAGACTGCCCATTGTCCAGTAGTACATGGACATATCAGGCACTGAGCTAGGCAGTGAAAATATAGAGTTAAATAAAAATGATCTTACTTTACAAATAGAATATAAATTTATAGAACTAAACACTTCAATTCCAACATTTACTACCAGCCGGAAGGAGAACCACCTTCACAAATGATACAGACGAACTCACTAACATCAGTCATGCTGTGTATTTAGGATGACCTAAGTCTTTGTTGAGGTTGAACACAGGACAAACATTTGTTCTCGTATTGTCCCCACCTGCCTCAGCCTCTTCCCTCCTGCCCCACCCCTCAGGCCCCTAATTCACGTCCCCACCAAGAATGGTCCAAGGGCTATTTCTCATACCAGAAGGAGCTGACACCAGCTGTAGGCACAAACAGCAGGGGCAGCTCCAGAGCCAAGCACCCTGAAGTTTTGGGGAGACGGGGGTGGCCAACTGGGTATGACAAGGAATATGGACAGATCTTTCTGCAAAAGATGAAAAAAATTAAGTGGTAGGGTTCAAGGAGGTCTCTTCTGCCCTCGACAAGTTGGACTTGAGGCTGAGCTCTGCCCCTTACACCCTGGCTGTGTGACCTTGGGCAAGTTATAGACCCCTCTAAGTCTCAGCTTTATCATTCATAAGGTGGGGCTGTTGTCAAGTTCAAGTAAGATAATATGTGGAAAAATATGAAGGTCATTTTATTTTATTTTTTATTCTCACTCAAGGAAAAGCTTATAGATTTTAGAGAGAGGGATAGGGAGGGAAAGAGAGAGAAACATCAATGTGAGAGAGAAACATTGATCAGCTGCCTCTCACATGCTCCCTGACTGGGGACTAAATCCTCTACCCAAGTATGTGCCCCATTCAGGACATTTACGGGATGACACTCCAACCAACTGAGTCACACGGGCCAGGGCTGAAGGTCATTTTATTACTGACAGTTAAGGGCAGGGGCTGGGGGTGTGCCTGTAGATTCAGACATGTCTCTCACTTAGTCCTCCCCACAGCTCAGGGGCAAATGTCTTTATTGCACAATTGTTCCTACTGTGCTGATAGGCCCCTCAGCAACTGAGGGTCAGAGGAGTCACGTGCACTGCCTGCAGTCACATGTAGAGCATGTGGAGGAATGGTAATGCAAATCCAGGCGTGTCCGGATTCTAAACCCTGTGTTTTCCCTTTGGTACTATGCTAATTCCCAGACCGGGAACCAAAAATTAGAATGGAAGGCTCACTGGGAATCTGGAACAAAAAGGGTATGGGGAGGAGGAGCAGGGCGGGGAATGAGACTTACCTGTGAAACTGTCATCCCGAAGGCACAGAATCTAGTGTGGGGTGCGAGGAGGGTTGGGGGAAGGAGAGAAGTATAGTTAGTAGGGACTCCCGTAAGGAGCACTCTCCTAGTGGTCTTTCCCTCAAATCACCTCATCCGAGGCCCAGAAACAAACAGCCCATGCTCTGTGGCTCTTCTCCTCCCAGCTGCACCCTGCCCAGGCCCTCAGCCCACCAGGACCTTGGCTAACCCTTCAAGACTGTGTAGAGGACACACTGAAGCTGTCCCCAGAGCACAGGGCCTTGGGAAGGTAGGCAAGGACAGACAGGAGAGTAGGGAGCATTGCTAGTCTGTGGCAGGCAGGTGCCCCCACCTGGCAACAGCACCTTACCATGTGGGCGTCCAGCAGGCAGCGGGTGTTCCAGTGGGGCAGACAGGGGCAGCCGATCCCAGCAGAGGCGGAGAGGACAGTGAACAGCAGGTGGAGAGGCAGAAGCAGGGCTGCCAGTCTGCGGTGCCCCATGGGCTTCCGTTGGGTCAGGGTGTCCGGAACATGGCTGCACAGCCTGAAAGGTGGGAGGCAGCACTTGGTAGTACAGCAGCAGGGAGCACAGTGCCAGCAGGAGCCCTCGCCTCAGCCTGCCCCTGCCCCGCCCAGCCCCAGAGCTCCTCCTTGAGTCTAACAAGCAGGCCAGGCCACATTCCTTTTCCTCCAAGCACAGGGAATGAGCGATTCTTGCCCCCCAGAAAATCCTACTGTCTCCAGCTGGAGGACAAGGGGCTTCTGCTCTGGCAGAGAAATAGCAGGAAAGAGGCCAGCACAGGGTTAGGGAAATGATTGGCTGCACCCATTTCTTAACCCCTCCTACTTCTGTGAAACTCCAGATCTGCCCAGCTCTTAACTGGATGTCCTCGGGACACGTGCTTGATCCCCTCACTTAACAGAGCTATTAAGCACTACTCTGCATTGGATACCACAGACAGAGGCAACTGACACACCATTTGAAATTGGGCAGAACAACAAGAAAACACTATAGGATGCACGTAAGCCTCATGTGGCTTCATATTCATCCTGGTTCCCCACCTGGCTGACTCTCAGGACTACAGCTTAGCTTTCTCTTCCCACCGGCTAGTTCCAGCTTTTTTGGACAAAGGGCTCCATGCCAAAGGAGCCTCTGGCTTCTTTCAAGGATCCATTAATCAGCGCAGTCTGCTCAGGAAGCCGCAGAGCTCATAGCAGAGCCCTGGAGCTAAGGGAGGGGGCCCCACACACTGACCTGGTTTCTTGTGGTTTCTGATGATGTTGACAAGGCTCCAGTCCTTGTTGGGACCCTCCCCATCATCCCACAGCTTCCTCCTCCTCATGGAGCATTTGAGCTGCTTCAGCCCTCACCTTGGTGACACACACAGTGGAAAGAAAGTTTGAGGCACACCTACTAGGGTAGGGCATGTTGCAATTGTTACTGTCTCTCTGCACATTTTAGAAGACTGGCTATATAGCCTTCTTTTGGCCAATTCTGGTTTCTAAGTCTTCAGATCCACTGTCTAAATATCCCATCCTACTCATTATCCTAAAAATACCCTCTAGCTCTTGGGTTCCTTAGAAACCAAGACCCTTGTTCTTTATGCCTCTCCAGTGCCGAGGGGTGGATGTTATGAAATAACTGCTCTGTAATTGAGTAAATGCAAATTATAATAGCAGTTCATCTGCTTCACATTTCATAAAGCACTTTCACATTTGATCTTCCTAACTACATTTTAAGATAGGAGGGAATTATTGTTTTCATTTCATAAAGAGAAATAAGCAACCCTGGCTGGTGTGGCTCAGTGGACTGAGTGCCAGCCTAAGAACCAAAGTGTAGCCAGTTCAATTCCCAGTCAGGGCACCCGCCTGGATTACAGACCAGGTCCCCAGTAGGGGGCACTTAAGTGGCAACCACACATTGAAGTTTCTCTCCCTCTCTCCTCCCCTTCCCCTCTCTATATAATTAATTAATAAAGGCAAATAAACAGAAAGGAATGTTATTCGATCAAAGTCAAGGTCTCTACCTTAGGAAGCTCCACTTCTGCCAGCCTCTTACAGTTGTATTCTCTTATGGTCTCTTCTCCTACTGCCTCATCTCCCTTTGCTTCTGAGAACCCCAAACAGTCTGCCTGACACAGTTCTGTCTTTTGGCCTTAGAGCCCATCACTGCAAACAAATCAGTAAGATGTGAAGGGAGAAGAGAGTGGTCAGGCCTTACTAAGGATTGGGTTAGAGGGTCTTCCCCCTAAATTGTTACCTAACTCAGAGTGGTTTAGATCTACACAGATCACGCATTTTTCTTATTTAATTAAAAAAATATTTTATTTATTTATTTTTAGAGAGAGGGGAAGGGAAGAAGAAAGAGTGTGAGAGAAACATCAGTGTGTGGTTGCCTTTCATGTGTCCCCCACTGGGGACCCGGCCTGCAACCCAGGCATGTGCCCTGACTGGGAACTGAACTGGTGACCCTTTGCTTCACAGGCCTGTGCTCAATCCACTGAGCTACACCAGCCAGGGCTAATTTTTTAATTTATTGATTTTAAAGAGGGGGAAGAGAGAGAGATTGATTTGTTGTTCCACTTATTTATGTATTCATCGGTTGCTTTTGTGCAGGGATCAAACCTGTAAACTTGGCATATTGGAACTACTCTCTAACCGACTGAGCTATCTGGCCGGGGCAGATGATGCATTTTTCAACGCTGGGGGCATAAAGTGAGAAACTTGGTTCTGTTCTTTAATACTTCTCTTTTCTTTACCCTTTATATCCTCTGATATGACTCTCATAATAAAAATATTTGATTGATTGATTGATTAATTAATTATTAATATTTGATTAATTTTGATCCCTGATCCTGGTTAAGATATGGTAGGAGAAGCAGAAAATAAACAAATGGGAACACATGCACATATACACACACAAACAAAAGAAAAGGAAGGAAAGAAAAAATAGGGAAGAAAAGGAACACACAGAAAGGAAAAGGACTAAGATGAGAAAGGAAGAGCGAAAGAGAAAAGAGGAGAGAAAAGACAGTCTGCTTTTTATTCAATCTTGCTGGTTTCCTTATTTATTGTGGAGCCTATTTTTAAAAAGGATTTAAGGTAACAAGCACGGCAGACAAATTCCAGCACACCTTGGCAAAGGGGAGATCAACATCTGCTGAACTTCTACTATCAGTCTCCAGGCCCTGTGCTTTGCCTGCGTTGTCTCATTTGGTTAGTGCTACTACCCTTGAGGTCAGTTTTATTAAACCATTTTACAGACTAGAAAATACTAGGAAGATTAAGTGACTCATTCCGCCCCCCCCCCCCCATCTTTCAGGCTCTTTCGGCCAAAACATACTGCTTGGGGAGAGCTGTTGGGCGTCAGAAGGCTCCTGGGCACTGGTCAGGGAGATAGAGAACAGAAACCCAATTAATACCATTTGTGCCAGCCAAACCCAAGGATGGAGGAATTCAGGGGACCAAATAACAAAAACTCTTTTAGAGCCAGACAGACCCAAGAGAAAAGTAAAGCAGTAAAGCTGACCAGAGAATAATACCAAGGTCCCCTATACACTCATTTTGATGCGCCAGCATATTAAAAATGCACCTGGAAAGCTGATGAGTATTCTACTGAAACCTCCCCCCCAAATTCTCACCCAGGAGATAAAACCCCTCAAGACAAAGGATACCAGGGCAGGCTCTTTCTGGAGCATGTTCTTGGACATCAGCTTTTCACTTTCTTTTTCCCAAACTCTAAGGGTCCCCACAAGACTTGCAAGCAGGGAGCAGCAGGCAGCAGCAGCTCACCCCAGGTTTACCCTCTGAAGCTGTCTCCAAGGCCCCTCTTTTCTTTGACTTTCAAGGCCCCCCTTTTCTCTGATTTTCTCTGACTTACCCTCTGACTTTCTCTGACTTTCAGCTAAAAGCAGCTCTACCTTGGCTCACATCTGTCACTGACCTTCACTTCCCAGTGAGCTAACAGCAGCCCCGCCTTGGCTCATTTCTTTCCTATAATATTTCTATGGTGCCAAAGCAGAGGACCACCTCAGCTCTCTCCTGTTGCTTCTTCAACCCTAAGTCCTTCCTTTTGTTGTTGCTGTTGTTCCCAGCTTTAATAAATATTCCCTCAAAATCACCTGGACTCGTAAAATCTTTCCCACATGAAGTCAAAAACGCACACACTGTAGGCCAGCCTGAGGCAGACCCTCTCAGGGCCCAGTCCCCGCCTGGTGACCACTCCAATGCCTACTCTCTAGTTCTGTAAATAGCAGGGAACAATAACCCTCCCTCAGATTTATACAGTGTTATATCATTCGCAAAGCACGTTCATACTACTTCACCTTATTTGATCTTCAAAACAATCCTGTGAAATAGACAGGGCTCATCTTAGCCCTGTGATTAGTAGGTGCATTGGTACTTTAACCCCAGTCTTCTGATGTAAATGCAGAGCTCTTCCCACTATATTCTTCAGGAAATGCCACAATCCTGAGGCAGGAAAACAATGATGAAGAAGCCCAGGAAAGCAGAATCCCACAACCTAATAAGCAGGAAACTAAAAGAAACCAAATGGTGCCCTTCTTTTTGGCACTGACAGTCATTTTCATAGTGGATCTTTAAAAGCACTCCAAAATTGCAAAGTGCCATTCTAATAACCAAAGAAATATTTACTTTTTTCAAAAAAGATTTTATTTATCTTTAGAGGGGAAGGAGAGAGGGAGAGAAACATGCATGGTCGCCTCTAGTGCATCCCCTGCTGGGAACTGGCCTGCAACCCAGGCATGTGCCCTGACTGAGAATCGAACTGCAGTCCTCTGGTTCACAGGCCCACGTTCGATCCACTGAGCTACACCAGCCAGGTATAAGAAATATTTACTTTTTAAAAAACTAGTAGTATTTGCATCCCAGTTTGAAAATTAGCAATGTATACCTGGCACACACAGCCCCAATTACCTACACATTTCTATCTGCTCCTCTCCACTCTTCAAATTCTACCCTTTGCTTTAGTCTAGTTCAGTGATTATCAACCTTTTTCATCTCATGGCACACATAAACTAATTACTAAAATTCTGTGACAAACAATAAAATGTATTTTTGCTGATCTGACAAAAACAGGCATAATATTGAGTTACGAAATAATAATAATAATTAGTAATTACCTATCCTTTTTGCTCCAAAGTGACTTTAGAAAAATCAGGTGGGTATACTTGAATATAAGAATTTCTGGCCCTGGCTGGCGTAGCTCAGTGGATTGAACGCGGGCCTGTGAACCAGAGTATCACGGTTCGATTCCCAGTCAGGGCACATGCCTGGGTTGCAGGCCAGTCCCCAGCTGGGGACGCATAGGAAGCAACCATACATTGATATTTCTCTCCCACTCTTACTCCTTCCCTTCTCCTCTCTCAAAAAATAAATAAATAGTTTTTTTAAAAAAAAAGAATTTCTGGTACCAAGAATTAACCCATTAGACATAACCTTATTATGTGACATAAGCAATAAGATACACTTCTACTATATGACCTATATGTTTATGCAGATGGCTATCGTTGTGTTGGTGTTATTTTTTTAAGTTGATAATCTAAGGGAAGAGACTTCAGTGCCCCTAATGAAACAGTCAGGTATTGCAGGTTTGATAGTTCTTGGCTGCACACCGGTTGAAGTCACTGGTCTAGTTCTTTCCTCTGTGAAGTACAGACTTTAGTCTACAGTAAGACAAAGAACTTACTTCATTCAGTAAGTTCAGAGTGCACGCCATTAGGTACTAAGCAAAGGGTGAGTAAAACACATGTAAACTAATAATTCTGTCAACAAGGTAAAATAAAAACACCATATGAATTCAAAGAAAGAACGCTCACTCCTTGAACCGAAGGAACCAGGAGGCTCCAGAAGGGCAAGTAATAAAGGAGTAGAAAAGGGAAATTTTTAAGCAAAGAAAACTGGGAGAACATGAAACCAACATGGGAATTCATGAGCGGTTCCGCTAAGATAGTGTGTGGTGAGTACTGGTAGCTAACGCAGAACCACTGCTGCACTGAGATCACACTTTGGAAATCTCTGGAAGAGATTAAGAAATTTTGATTGTTCAAAAATAATGGCACATAGTGGAAACTTGTTGATGATGATCCAGAGCTGTGCACCTGATATACTCACTTGCACACAGGGATGCAGGAAGAGGAATGAATATGAGGTAGAAGGCAGAGTTCAGTTTGATGCGATAATCGAGACACCTACAGGAAGAGATTTTTTGCAGTTATAAAGTACTGCTAGCACCTAATAATGACTAAGTACATACCTAATGTTTGTAGAACAAAAGA